TGCTCACAAAAATTATAAGTGAGCTATGTTTAGCTATGGCTTTCTTGTAAAATATCAACACACAAACTGAAAATATTTTAACAAATACAAGGTGTCAACAACAAATTTTAAACTTTTTAAGTGATTAATATTTAAATTGAATGAGACTGAGAATTTTGTTCCAAAAAAAATGTAGGTACATATATATAGGTACATATGTTCATTAACATACTGCAAGCATAACTTAAAATCTTAACCCCACTCAAATTTGAATTCAAGCACAAAAAGACAAATCTTATTATTGCTAATTAACTTTGAATAATGAAAATTTTCTTTAAGTAATAGGAATTTGAAAATTGCAAAATTTTTCAGCACAAAATTATTGCCGCAATGATATTAATATACTAAATCATCCAGTAAATCATGAAAACTATAGAAAATATTTTAACAGAAAATTATTCAATAGAAAATATTTTAACAGAAAATAATCCGCCTCTATTACAACAATTTAAATTATATTTTATTATCATCACTCATACTTATTTTGTGGATCACCTCGTATAAAAGAACTTTTAAATAAAAAATATTCTATGATAAACTTCAAACCTAATATATTTTATTAAAGAATTTTTAATAAAATTGTTATACACAACAATACATCCAATAACTTCAAGACCAAATTATTTGCATAATAACTTTGTAGTAGTCTCATATTTTAAAGTAAAGTAGGTCTTCACTATTTTATATAGAAAAAATTTCTGAATTCTTTATTGTTACCTAGGCTGGGGTATAATAATCTAACGATTAGAAATGTATGTATGTATGTATGCACGAATATACATACATTTTTTTTTTAGTTTTTTGAATACATTAAATTTAAATTTTTTATACAATATAATTTTTATTTATATTTTATATTTATGGGATATTTTTTAAAGAAAAAAAATATCGATGTTGTAGAAAGTTATAATACTAACAGAGAAATTACTCAATTTTCAATATAGAAATGGCGATATTTATAATTTATTCAAAATTTATATTGTATTGTTTTTGCATTTCTCACCGGATTCTGATAGTTCCTTATAAAAAAAAGTGGACTCTGTAGCTTCGATTAAATTTTTATCAACTTAAAAAAAAACAAGATAAGGAAAATATTTTTAATTTTTCCGTTATATTATTAAAAGTAAATAACAATACTTCTGTGAAACTTAATTTTTTAAAAAATGACAAATTTCAGGATGATGTGAAAAGAATAAGAGTATGTAATTCGCTAATTATACGAACTAAAGGTACTTTTGCCAAAAATGATGATTAAAATGTCTAAGACCGTCATCCCAATATGTAAAATCTTTGATTGATCTTGAATCTTTTGACCATGTCAAATTACGTCATTCACTTTTGAAAATAACAATTTTTTTGAAAATAACAATCATCCACAGTAAAGCAGTTCTGGCAATTGACATTTCAAAAATTATTCAAATAAAACGGAAAATTTTAAAATACCAAAATTAAAATGTTTTCTTCGTTATTCATTTTATCACATATAAAAAATGCCTTTATGCACCAGTCTTGAAAAATAATGAAAAAAATGCAAAAAATTTGGCAACGTATATTAGAAATTATGACGTGTACGTCATGTCGCTTTGGAATTCTGCAAAATGTCCTAATACTAAAATCTCGAGGTATAATAAAAGACCATGGCACCTATGTACATACATATACATATATGAGAAATTAATTTTTAAGTGTGGACTCCTTGAAAATTCCTGTATAAACAATACCATCTTTCATCGTTCTTTTAATGAATAAAAAATTGTTAATGATAATTTGCGTAATATTCAATAAGTTGCTCATTATACAAAATAATACTTATTTAGTTCATGAAATTTTCATTTAATTCAGCCTAAAATGAACAGCATTAGAAAATTTCGATATAGACAAGAAATTAACGTGACACTTCTTAATTCCCGAATAAAATGTCGGAATAGTATTCAAAACGAAATATTTAAATTTAATCATACAATGTTAATAAAAAAAATTATTATTTTCTCGTATTTAATTTTTCATGGTGCATTTAGTATTGTATGTATGTGTGTATATTGCGTACCTAAAATAAGATCAATAAAGCAGTTAACAAATACTCACAATAGCTTAAAAGAGAAAATCAAATGAAAAAATTAAACTTCAAATCATGTAGCATGCGGACTAATATAAAACAGAAAACTAAATTGCATAAGTTGCAGGAAAAAAAAATAATAAAAAAAAAAGTTATGAAGCCGGCTTTTCAAGTATCTTAAATTTTAATTTGTTTTTTTTATTTTTTTCTTTTATAAATCAATTCTTTTCAATATATGTACAAACTAAGTTTTTTTTTGTTACTTGTTGGATTTTTATATAAGTAACATTACAACAAGTTCATTGATCTGACATAATTAAATATAAATGTAGGTAGATACATATATATATATATATATATATATATATATATATATATATATATACATATATATATATATATATATATATATATATGTATAACCAATTCTGAATGTCTCACCTTCAATCATTATGCATTTGAAAAGTTAACCATAAAAAAGATAACAAGAAATTAGAGAAACAATAATAAAAAAACCAGTTGGCATTTTCTATTGACTAGTACTCGTATATTCTTGAAACCCAATAAGATTTGTCTCAAAAAATATGATTTTCTATTTAAGAATTATATAATTTTTAAATTCGAATTGGAAAGAAAATTTTCCAACTTATATAGCAAATGAATAAAGTAAGTGTTATGCTCAATAATATTTGTTGTTGGAATATTTACTTTCAAATAAAATTTATTATTAATTCGTAGAGGGAAAATGAATTTATAAATCCAGTTTAGTTTTTGAATAGATGAAAATTGATATTGAAAACTTAAAACTTAAAAAAAAAATTTAGGTGGATTTAAGAAAAAAAAATGAATTAATTAATGTATTAATGACGATGATGAAAGTTGATTTTGTTGTTCGTTAGATTATTAACATATAAATACATATATATATATAGATTATTTACTGCAACATTGACATAACTCAAAATTTGAACATTTGAAAAAAAAAACGAAATGTTGGAATTAATATAGTTTTCTCTTTATAGCATTATTTTTTTGCTTTATTGTAAGCAACAATTTTCAAGCTATAGAAATGGTGTGTTTTGCACAAAAAAGAAATGTTTTATCCACTTATCTCTGTATAAATAGCTCAGAAGTCTTATTTTTTAAGTTACATTACTGTTACAGCAAATGGGCGATATATAAATGTTTAAAAATTGAAAGCAAATCGTTAACAATAAGAAAATGGGTAAGTTGAATTTTTAGAATGAAAAATTTAATTTTATCATCCCAATTGTTACTTTGTAAATAGTTGCATATAGGACGTAGGATTGTGTGGGCCTTGTTATAAAGATTTTAGTTTTAATTATTAACAGTAAACAGATTTTCAATATTCTTGTTGGTAACGTTATAACATTAAATTAAATTAAAATGCTTAGGAATAATGTTACTTTTTAAAGGAACGAGAATAGTTCGCTCTTAGTTATTATATTTTTTCTTTCCTTCTCTATGTATTAAATTTTTCTTTACTAGCCCAACATGTACAAACGTTTATGTACATACATATATTGTTTTTGCGGTTTTTCTTATATGGAACTTATTGTACAAAGTTCATTATTTTAAAAAATAATACAAAATATATTCATAAACATTACTGGACTATAATACGACTATATAATGAACTGAAAACTAATAAGGATAAATTTATACTTTCATATAATTATTTATTATACCTAGATTGGTAGGAGCCTACCCATTTTAAAATTTCATTAATACTTATATATTAAAAAAAAATTATCAGCTAAAAAGAAAAAAAGATCAAATAAAATTTAATATTTATTTGATGATAATGTGAAATCTTTAAAAAATTCTATATTAAGATATGAAAAAAGAGTTATTAAAATAACAAAAATTATAAATTTTAATTGTTTTTCTAAGATAACTACATAGCACAAAATTTTATAGAAATCATATTACAAGTATAACAAGGTTCTTAGGTATTTATGTAGGTAGGTTCATATTTATAATTTTAAAAATTAACGATAAGATATTTTGCTTTATCACCTTAACAAATACTTATTATAATTGAAAAATAGTTTATGAAATCAAGATAGAAATTTATTAATTTTTTTTGTTTTTTTTGGGAATGCATGGTGATAATTTTGTTTAACTGTTAATAATTAATTAAGTTATCTGCATAAGGTTATAATAATTTTCGAATTATATAATATGCAAATTTTTTTCATAAAAATAATTGAACCAGCTTCACTAACGTATCCCTTATATTCAATTACTGATAAATGAACCACTAAGATTCATTTTAAAAAAAAATAAGAAATTAATTAATTTCTTAAAATATTAAAAGATCATGTAATGTTATTATATTCATGTTAACTGTAGAAACTTAGAAATACACAAACAATACATGAAATAAACTTTCGGTTTCAATATTTATAATCTTAAAATTAAAGTTCAAATACTTAGAAACTAATTGATAAAACTTAATATTATAATTCGTATTTGCTTGTTTTGCTCACGATTTAATGTTAATATTAACCGAAATAATGTTACTTTACAACTGTTTTTTTGCATGACTTTGCTTACATCACTTTTATGCACAGTTAAATAAATTACAAGTCATGTTATTTTAATTCTATACTGTAGGTTTTATATTTAATGTCATCTCTTACATTTAAATAAAATGGGTCAATTAGGACAAAAAAAGACTAGGAGATTTTCCACTTCGTTTCTATAGGAATGCTATATTTGTAGTGCTACATTTATAATTTTAATAATTATATACGTACATATATATTTTAATGGCTTATAAGTCCTTTCAATAAATTTAACACTTTTCTCGAATTAAATTATGCATATTATATTTTTTAATAAAATTTAATTGAAAACAAAAATGTAAATAACAACAGACCTTAACAGATTTTTTATAATCATTGAGTTGATTATCAGCAGTATCACGATTTGCCATTTTGTTAATTAATTATTAAATGAACAACACAAATTAATTATCCAAAATATTGTAGCACGAAAAATTAATATTATAAGATTGAAAACCACTTCGTATTAAACCGAACTTGTTAAAATCTAAAATATTATAGAAATCCACCGGCCTGACTTTGTTCTATTTATACAAGTGAAAATAGTTGTCAAAATAATTTGCAGAACTGCACAATTTATGACACTAACATAATATTGCCAGTATTGAAAATTTTGTAAAATTTAATTTTATATTTATTTTTTATTAATTTCAAGTCAGAAACTTAAAGATGCTAAATTCAATGCGTAAGAAAAAAATAAATGGCAAAAAATATTCATTTTGAGTTTTTTATTTTTTGCCAAAAATATTACTTGAATAAAACTATATTCGTAATGAAAGGAATTTCAATTTGCTTCAAAAATTAAAATGTCAAATGAAATCAAAATAATTAAATAAAGAGTTGTGAACGGCAACGCCAGACGTTTTCCATTATTAACTCAGAAAACAGCAACCGGCAAAATCAACAGTTCAGTATTTTGTATACAGTGTCATGCCACACAGCCATGGAAACACCGGATGTTTGAAAAAACGCCAGTGGTAATATAGTGAATTTTTGGGCTATTTAGGCGTAATTTGCTTAATTCTGGGCAGTCCCTTTTGCCGTTTACAATATGTGTATTCTACATGAATTTTGACATTTTGCCGCGAAAAATTGCTCCTGTTCTGTTTTCAACTTAAACAATAGTCCTATTAAAAGGATGAAAATAGGGTCTAATGTTTCTTTTTTCTTTAATGGAACTTTCTAAATTCAAGATAGAAAGTTCAAAATTCTTTTGAGTTCATATGGTTTAGACAATCCGTTACTTTAGGAAAATAAATTAAAAGTTGCAATAATACTATTACAACAGATTCCTTAAAAGAATATTGTAAAATATGAACCGAATTTAAAACTGAAACAAAAAGTCATTATTTTCTATGGAAATTAGATAAAAACAAAGATTTTTTTCGTGCAAAACGATTAAATATCTAACTTATCACAAAAATACTTCTTATTTTTCCATACAAGAATTTTTGGCGGGAAAAATTTTCTTTGACAATACGAGTAATATATTTAAAGAAATATTTTTGTAGTATAACAGTACTTTTTTTGATCCACCTCTAGTAATTAGCTGTCATAATTTTTTCACATGTTGCTAGTAAATGTCAAATCGTTCAAAAACCAAAATAACAATTTGAAATTACTTCAAAAAATAATTTAATATTAAATATAAGTCCTTGTTAGTCACAATTATAGAAATTGTTATCAAAAAAGTTATGAATTTTTTGCGAACAATTCGAAATCACTGGAAAAAGACGACCTTTTTATCCTTTGCCATAGCTTATGGCGCTAAATATTCTAAAGACAAATATGAGTAAACATGTAAATTTAGCTATCTATATAAATCAAGTTAACATTATTCAAAATTTATAGAATAAGTAAAATGATGCGTGGTTATTGTGAGGAAGCCTTAAAATATGGGGACACAATAATCGGTCCTATAACACCACCTAAAAAGTTATTGGTTTTGCTTAATCCAGCTGCAGATAAGCGTTCTGCAGAAAAAAATGTAAATTAAAAATGCAGAATAAAAATATTTGTATCTATAATTCTATCTATAAATACTTTTTTTTAAGTTTCAAAATTATTGTGAGCCAATACTTCATTTAGCTGGATATCTAGTTGAAATAGTTCAAACCGATTCAGTCGGTCATGCAAGACGTTATGTTGAAGAGGAATTAAAGAAATTACCTGACGCAATTATTGTAGCTGGTGGTGATGGTACTATATCAGAAACAATTACTGGATTATTAAGGAGGAATGACAAGCAATTATGTCCAGTTGGTGTATTGCCATTAGGTAGAACAAACGAAGTCGTGTCAAAACTGTTTTATGCCAATCAAAACAATTATGTTGAAGAAATCAAGTTATTAGCCGATACAGCTATTGCAATCATACGCGGAAAAACGAATAAACGAGATGTTATTAAAATACAACCTCTCGAAGAAGAAGTTATAGAAAATTCACCCTCAATAGAAAATCCTAAACCTATTTATGCTATGGGCTCGCTGCAGTGGTAACTATAAAACTATAATTTAATGTGTTACTTAATATTAACTTTAATTTATTTTTGGAGGGGAGCATTTCGTGATGTAATAAATTTAAGAGATCGTTATTGGTATGTCGGACCCTTACGAGAATATGCTGCTCCACTTTTTAATGCTTTTGGAGATAAATTAACATGGGAATGTAAAGCAAAGTTATTGTATTCGCCACCATGTTCCGGCTGTAGTAATTGTCGAAACAAAAATGAGGAAATAAACAAACACAAACGATGGTGGTCTGCTTTCGTTCCACGTTTTAAATTAGGTCATCAAACAGGAGAAATAGATTATTCGAAAATAATTAACATGGAATGCAGTCAACAATTTGAACTGGACATTAATCCAACTGAGCTTATTCTGGAGCCAGATCTTGAGGATACCGTGTTATCAAAATTAACACTAAAAATTAAGGATGAAATAAGTTCAGGATTTGACTTTATATCGGAGAGTTGGAATAGGATTAAAACAAATGAAAAAGGTGATAGAAAGCTATTAGAAGGAAGAACGATTACGTTAATGCCCGAATGTAAAGATGATAAAGAAAAATTTTATTATATAGATAACGAACCTTTTGAAATAAGGCCAATTCAAATTAGCATTGTACCTAAAGCAATAAATATGTTTGTTTTACAATAAAAAATTAAAAACCTTGGTTTAGCATAATATTTTACTGTTTTTTTTTAAATGCATCTAAATTTGTTTTGAAAACCAATTAAATACTATGTATTATTTAACTTTATTTTTATTCTACAAATTACAAATTAAAACGAGTAGATCAATTCAAAAACAAAAAATTTAACAGAAAAATTAAAGTTTTAGCATGGATTAAAAATTAACCTACATATCATGTTTTATACATGTATTATATTTCATATACTTTACTAGATATACGATGCATATATACATATATAATGATATATTTTCACATTAAGTTTAGGATGATCCGATTTTGCAAGTTTTACTCTAAGGTCCTTCGGGACCACCAGGAACATGGTCCTCCGAAATAGAATTCATAATATAATTTGTAAATCTTGGACCAAGCCATAATATGCAAAGTAAAACTGATTCTAAACATCCTAATAGCATACCAGCTATTACATCTAGTAGATGATGACGATATATCAATAAACGCGATATTGCTACACTAAATGCCCATGCAAAAAGTGGTGGCCAAAAAATCCATGAAACTGGATACAACCATGTGAAAAAGCATAATAAATAAAATGCTCTGGATGTGTGACCACTAGGAAAACTGAACTTATCTGGGCCAATCGTAAAAAAATCATCTACACATGGGCGACGACGCCTTGTTGCTGCTTTTATCAATGCAACAAATATTATATCAAGTATTAAACCGAACATCATATTTATTTGCATTTGATACAAATTTTTATCGTCAATCATCCAGCAAAATGCTAGCCAACCAGCTAACCAAACAATGCCGTGACATGATATTTCTAAAAACTTACAATGCGTTTTCAACGATCTTACAGCTACAAAATTTAACAAAAAAGATACAAATGCTTTGGTGGCCTTAACATCGTATTCTAAAAGCCTTTGTAAGGCTGGTGGGAGTTGTCGCTTTTCAAACCTCGTTTTTGGATCGAATTCTGCCTGCAAAGAAAAAAAAATTAATATTTTTTTGTTGGCTCAAACGATGATTCATGTGGATTAGCATAACATTAAATCAGTCAAAAAAACCACATTAAATGTAATACTTCAAAAATATTTTAATTATCGATAAATCGCACATAGATATAGAAACACTTAATCTTAAGTTATTTTATTTTGCGGTGCAAATATTTATTTTATTTAATGTAAACAGTAACTTCTGATATTTATAATTATATTGAAGCAACAAGAATTAATTATTGTAAATTCAGAAATTTGTGCACAAATTATCTTGAGTTCTACATAAGACTTAAAATGGTTGATTATTGCAAATAATTATGGTGTGAAAATTTAAACACTTACCGATGGCATCTCTTAAATAAAATAAAATAAAATTTAATATATTTGCCAAAAAAAGGTCATTAGCTGGCCTAATATGGTGTTCTTTCCTGGTTATTTGTACTTGAATAGATAGACGTATGAAATGTAAAAACTTGACTGCGGTCTGCGATTACCAAACAAATATCAGCTGAATAAGAACTTCAAGCGTCTTAGTTGTCATTTTGGAAAAAAACGAAATTAATATTATCATCCCCTCTAAACACAATCAAATCGCTTACGCTAGCACAAAAACTTTTCAGAAAATAATATAAGTGTCTAAATAAATGTCATATCCCGACATTGATAGTATATTTTGAAATTTTATTTTGAATTCTAAAAGTTTAAGGAAGGTTTGAATTATGTAAATTACTTCATTCGAAAAACAGACTCGGAGTGTTAGATATTGAAAGTAACCATAATTGGGTTCTCACCCAATCTGGGAAACCAATATTAAAAAAGCAATGCATTAGAAAAGAAAGCTAATTTGTAGATGATTTATAAAATACCGTGCATGAAGATCTATAAAATAAACTAAAATATTACATTAAAATATAGTTCCTGCAATCTTCATTTCAAATTCTTAAAATGTCAAGACTCGGCGATATTTAAGATTTTAAATTTCAATCAGAAATCATTGAATTTATTATATAAATTTATATACAACAATCGCAAATGAATGCTTTCATAATGAATTATTTAGTTTTATGTCAAATATTATATGTATATTTTACTGTCAACTAAATTTACAAATCCATAGATAAAACTATTTAACATCTTGCACAAATTCCCTATTACTTCAAATTTCGGTTCGTTAATTTTAAAGTTTTCATACAACTTTTTCTTGGCTAAATATTAAGTCACTGGAGTTTTTCTTGAATTTCGCAAATTTCAATGTATTGAAGAAGACGTCGAAAATTAAACCATAGAAAAATTGAATTTATCGAATGCTCATGGCAACACTTAACAGCTTTTGCGGCTTGTTTGACTTTACTAGCAAAAAGCAAATGCATTGTTTGTAAATTGTATTTTGTAATATTGCAAATTACAAATGTGTATTAGATGAGTTGGACACTATCGTTATCTTAAGCAAGACAAATTTTTTTACAAAACATTCCATATATCCACATAAATAAGCAATATGAGCTATACTTATTCACCGTACGAATGTCCAATTAGCAAACAGGTAAATTAATAATTTTTACTAAATGAATGTTTGCATAGTTAAAAATTTTTATCCGTTTTTTTTCATGAAACAGATTGCTGAGGCAGAGGATACTATTGTTGGTCTTAAGTAATAAAAAAATTTAACATTAAGTAAAAAAAAAAATAAGTAGTTTTTGTTTTACATTCTTTTAGAAATAGAGTTCGTGGTTTAGAAGATCTGTTGGAAAGCAGAGATTTAGATGATGAACAACGAGATTCGTTAGAAAAAGAGCTAATTGAAATTAGAAACATTTTAGACCATAACAGAGAAGCTCTCAAAGGATTGCATAAGCAAAACACAAAATCCTTTATTGTAGCCGGTTGTGTAATATTTGTTTGTTTTTTAATTTATGGTATTTACTGTATCATATATAATCCATATTAAATGGTTTTTTTTACCACATTTTTGTAACCCTTGTGTCTTGTATTGGATTAAAAACTTAATCGCACTTTCCCAAATCAATTTAAAATTCAATTTGTGTTCTTATATTATCTTAATATTTCCAAATTACTTCATATAATCACTTAATCTTATTTGCAAAATAGTTTAAATAAGTATTACTGATTTTATCGGCGTGCACGGCCCCTTCCTCCACGACCTCTTGGTCCACCGCGCCCTCTTGCTCCAGATCCTCTGCCTCTACCACGGGCATTCCTAGAAGCATCTTTCTTTTTGGCTTTAGATTTCGGTGTATCATCAATTAAAAGAGTTTCCAGTGGTAAGCTGTCGGGTAATATATAATAGCGAATGTTATTTCCACGAATGCTCAAGGACTCTAATTGAACTGGATCACGATTTTTAATAGTCATTTTTACTGCTTTAAGATGTGTGTTCATTGCAATATCGACTCCTGTTATAGTACCGTGAACTTGTGTTCCATTTTTTAACTCTATTGTCACTGTTTCATGGCTTAACTTCATAAGAAATCTAAAGACGAAATGCATTAGAAATTTGCTTATTTGAGGTTAATGAAGTCAACCGGTTTAGGCGGCGTTCTTTCAATAAAAATTCCATTTTTATAATTTACCTAACTAATTTCATGTTGTACTTTTATTAATCACTCCTTTGAACGAATTTTTGGCCCCGAACTAAATTATTTTTTATGGTAAACGTTTGATAATTATTAGATAAAGTTGAATTTATTGTAAACCTCTAAAATCTAAACAGAAGAAGCTTCACAATAATTTTTTTTTAAAATGTCAAAATTTGTGCAGCGATAATGAATGCTCTTGACGTTTTTCGTTTTTTACAGATTAAATAGAGATTCCATAAGTACGGTTTAATTTTAAGTTGCAAATGCGCAAAATACGTAATATGTACTTCTAAAAAATTTTTAACGAGTACATTATTTAAATGCTTTTTATGGTGTTGTATATAATAATGTAAATCATGGAACCACAAAAAATATTATTAATTATGGAAAACACTGTATATATAATATTATTTGCGTTTCCGATTAGATTTTATGATATTTCCATACTCAATTTTGACGTCAAAAGCGCGCCTTAATTAGATACTTTTTGAGCCACTTTATTTTAAATTATTAAAAACTATAAAGTAATTTTTTAACTATAAAGTAAACAATTTTTTCAATTGCAGTTCAACATTCTTTTTCTTGTAAATCGATGCCAAACTATTTATAAAAAAAAATAACTTAAAAGTGTCTCGAAATCTCGTCATTTTGCCAGCCAATTGACAAGTCAAATTTTAATCATGCGATATTTTGTTACGTTTTAATAATTAGGAAGCGTTTGTTAAAAATATTGACAATTTTTCGATATAAAAATTTCTGGTTTTCTCATTCGCAACATCAGAAATTTCTTTAATTCGAAGCAAAACAATTTGTAAAATTTCTAAAATAAATGTGCTTTGGAGAAAAACGCTGCAAATTTAAACATAAATGAAATGTTATTTTGAAAGGGTTTTGCAGTTTTCTCATATAAGAAAAATCGAATCATGCATAAAATGTAAAAAATACAAAAAACTAATAAAGAAAAATGCTATTAATTCAGGTAGATTTCTTGAAAAAAATATTTATTTATTTGTTTATTTGTAATCTCAATGAGCTGGTGAGCTCGCATAGAGTTTACAATACATATTTAGTTTTATATACAATATTTATGGTATATACAATATTTATGGTATATATATGTAATATATCAAAAGAAAAGAAATTGAAATTTGACAAAAAAGACAGGAACATTGTCAAATAATAATCACTAACTTCACTAAAAATTTATTTAGTATTTATTTAATATTAGTCACACATTTGCAGTTTTGTTTTCTAAAAAGAATTTGAAAATATTATTAAAATTAGAAATGACACAAAATTCGAAAAAAAAAATTATGTATATCCCATCAAAAGTGAAAATTCCTATTAGAATTAAATTAGTCGGCTTACAATATTATTTTCTGTTTCGACTAAGTCATAATAAGTGTCAGCTACTTTGTAGCCTTTATCCCTGCAAAATTTTGACAGCAGCTGTAGCTAAGCCTAGTGTTTATCTATATTTTCACGGGGAAAATATATTTTTCAATATAAAAAAAAAAAAAAAAGAAAAAAGTTTCTTCAACAAAATAAATACAATTTAAAGTGATTTTCTTCGATTAAAAATTATATAAGTAAACATTATTAAATAAAATCAAATAAAATTACTAAAATATTTATTATGTCTTTAATTTTTCGTATTTTAATAACGTAAATACCTCTTGGAATTTTATTGGGACACAAAAATCAAGTTGTGTTGTGATTTCTATGCAAATTCTGGATATAATTTTTTTTTTTACATAAAAAATAATATATAACATAACATATTATATATGTTTGTATAAGTATTTGTGCTGTGAAAATTTCGGCTAAAAACTTGAAAAATATATTTTAAAGAAATAAATGATATTTTATTAATTTGGTGGTGTCATTAAATAAATATTAAATATTTTGTTATATTTTTTAAAAATTTATTTTAAATTTGCTTCAAATCAATGATAAAATCCTTCTATTTTAGGTGCTACGAAACTAAGAATTTAGGTGGTTCTTTTTTATATTCAGTTTCTTTTTTATTGTTTTTGTTGTAAGGTGTTGTATTTTGGAAAAGAAGAAATTCATGTCAAATACAAGAAAAAAAAATATTAATTTTTGCAAAAGAATTGATTTTGTTCACAATATTAAAGTAGTAGGTATGATATAAAAAAAATTAGGTTGTTTTATCAACATTCTACTTTTTTTTGCAATTATATCGAAAATAATATCCATAAATTATATTACCTTACAGTTTAGGATAAACAGTTACTAGCTATACCTATTTTTAAGTTATAATTGTGATTTTGATTTTTGTTTATATTTTTAAATAAGCATTAATAATTAATCTGAATGTCTATATTTATAATTTAGTTGTTGTAATCAAGTAGGTAGGTGATTAATGATCATAGGTAGGTAGGATACAAAATTAAAAATCATTTTAGTCTCAAATATTTAAAGTAAATAAAAAATTTCGAATAATTATTTGGGTTATATAAAATAATCTAAATTACAAAAAATTTACTTTAAAAATAAAATAAAATAATATTAACGCCTAATAAAATCATATGTATGCCATTAGAATAAAATATAAATGTAATAATATTATATTATAAGAATGTTGTTTTTTAATAAAAATAAAAAAAATTACTGTTATAATGGTTAAGGGACAAAACATAAATATAAGAACAATAAAGATCTACGCGACAAGGAAAAAACAACTATGAATATCAACAAAATACCATCAACGTCAACATCAACAATGCCATCAAATTATAATTGCATAATATTAAACAGGTGAGTACTTTTTTCCTTTTTTATTAAGTTTACGTTACAATTAAAATTGGAATCGACTATAGATGTATGTACATCTTACATTCTTTCTTACATCAATTTAGGTTCTGAATTTACAAATACGTACTTATACTTGTTTATTAATACGTGGACATTTTGATCAATTTCAAGTTTTATTAGAAAATATAAAGTTAAAATATTCTATAAAATTTTCTTATTGGAATTCAAAATAAATGTTGCTTGTCACTAACATTGTTATTATTTTGTATTATCATATTACTCTAGTACATATACTAGCGGTAAACAAAATTAGTAAAAATTAATTTTCATGAGAATTAAAAAAAAAATTCAGAGAAGTTGGTGTTAAAGTTTTAGTAGCTTATCTACTATAAGTACAAGTAACATTTTTCCTACTATAAGTAAATATTAGAATCTTGTACCTATAAATTTACTGATGATTTCCATCTGAATAACTTGTCCAAAACATTATTCAATCTAAAATATTTTAATATTAAGGTTAGTTTTAAATTTACCCAAATTTATATTAATATTATTTTTTATATTTGCCGAAAAATAGGCAATCTATTTACATATTTATATTATAAAATTTGCATTATCAATTTGATTTGTACCTAATACAAACACTTCCTTATCATAATATTTACAATAATATTTACGTTATTATCTTAATTTTAAGAAAATCATTATATTTTAATTAAAAATTTTATTTGGATTCTAAAGAATTTAAATATAGTAAAGAGCTTGTTTCCTTATTTACATAATTTATATCTATGCAAATACTCGCATGAAAGACGCTTAATTTATTAATAATATTATTTTGTTCTAAGCAGCAACTGGAAAATTTAAATTACAGTTTTTGTTTTCAATTTTTACGCTCAATAGTTGTTACATATTTATTTATTATAAAATATTAAATACCTACTTATATTGTACAAAATACTGTTGAAGCCTTATACCTATACCAAACAATTGCATAAAACATTGCGTACATATAAGTATATAAAATAAATAAATAATTAAAATTTACAAAACGAACACAAGTGTGACAGATTAGTAGTACCAACTATTAAAAGAATGAATTTTCCTTTTTTTTGTTTATATAAGAAGTTCTGCTCGATTGCTTTACGTTTCCTTAAATAAGTATCTGTTGATTAGTGTTGAAATAAAAATTTAAGATTCTATTAAATTTTTAATGAAATTTTGAGAGTTTTGCTTGAAATTCTAAAATTGTTTTTGAATTTTCTTTTTATAATTTTGAAATTATAATTATAATTGAAGTGGCGTGCTTAAGTTTTAATTATCAGTAAAACTAAGTTGGACAACTGAAATGAAAAAAATGTTTGCAATTTGTCTGCTCTCTTAAAATGAAGAACTGGTTTTATACAATATTATTAGAGAAATTAAGTATTTGAACAAATATTATTAGAAGAAGTTAACAATTCACTTCACACATTCACGATTGTACTAAAGTACATAAGTACTTCTAATTTTTCAGTTTCATATGTTCAGTTTCGACATTCTAATGTTAGAATTATTAAATTTAAAATTACTGATTTCGCTGGAATTGGTATATACTTATATAGTTTACAATAGTAATTACATTTATTTAATATATTTTCATAAGTAATTATTAAAGAAATTGGAATTTTAATTTTAAATGGCTTATGTACATACTTACATAATTTTGATTTATTCATAAGTAGGGGATGTCAAAAAAATAATTCTTTAAATATGTACTCAGAATAAAAATCTTTTTCGTATACCCACTCGTCCTCAAGTCAAAATATTTCTTTACAAAAAGGACATTTGATAATCCACACATCTGATCTAAATAATCAATATTTACATTTGTATACTCAACAAAATGAATATATCTTGTATATATGTACTTTCTTATTAATGTATTTAGGTATATAAGGTAAACGGCTATATTTCGGACCTATTTTTTAAATCTCTAGCATAAAATACACAAATCATTTCATGTTTGTAATAATAATTTCAGTGGTTCATGTTTATAATAATAATTTGCTGTTATTTATAAGCACAAATACGAAATATTAAATTTTTATTCTTTTCCATTTAAAGTAGTAGTTTTTATAATAAATATATTTTTTGACAATTTGATAATATACTTACTTAATATGGTTCTAAGAGAATGCAGCTAAACAAAACTTTCAATATTATAGTTTAGGCAAATATTTAAATAATTCAAAGGCAGTATTTATTTAAAAGTTTAAAAGTGATCTCTGGACTTAATTCTGGTCTATAGGACCATTTCATATGCATGTCGTAAAATGTATTGTCCGAATTTGGTTTGAAAGTTTTTTAATTATTTAAAATA